ACACAAGAGCATAAGTGGGCGTTGCGTTTGTTTCAAGTCACATGCAGAATGCCGCAGCCGCCACCGCCGCCGCCTCTCGCAGTGGAGTCTGCGGAGAAAGGGGACGCGAGGAATCACAGAATGGGTCTGTCAATCAATCACAGAACACAACTGTCGTCCAATCACAGACTTCCGCCTGGGCTTCAGTCGATTAAGCAGCGAGGCACGCCGCCTCGTTGAATTCCATGCAGGGGTTGCGGGGTTAAAGGTTAGCCTTACAAGGTTAAGGTTAAGAGGTTATGGTTCACAGTTGTGGAGTTAGGTTATAGCGGTTAAGGGTTTAGGGGTTCGATCTCGGATTTAAGGTTATTGTGTAGGGTTTAGGTTATCATTATAGTTTGGGGGTTCGCATTTAGGGTTGAAGGGTTTTGGTTAAGTTTAGGGGTTAGATTCAAAGTTTATGAAAATAATTATGGATTCAGTAGTATGGTTTAGCGTGTCATGGTTTAGGAGTTATGGGTTACAGTTCAGATTTAGGGCTTGCGGCTATGTTTAGGGGTTAGCATTTAGGCTATAGGTTACGGTTAGGTTCACCCTTTTAAAAGTCTGCCTCAGCAAGAGACCATGCTTTCCCACCTGATGATGGATGCTTGTGTTGCGCCCGAAACGACGTGATTTATTTTATTTTATGCCTACATGACTTTACCGAAAGAACCAAAGAGGTAGGTGTTAGTGTTTAGGTTTTAGGTTCGGGTTAGTGTTTAGGTTTTAGGTTAGGGGTGGCCGTTTAGGCCATAGGTTAGGATTTAGGCTTGAGGTTAGGGACAGTAGGAGTGAGTTTATCACCACCAATCCGTGCGAATTTCTAAACATATTTAACTCGAGTTCTCATTTGTGGGCCCGGATTGAGAGGGTGGCCAATGGCTTATTCAGCTCCAGTTTTTAGTGAAGCGCGCCGAGGAGGGATCGGACTTGATATCATCGCGTCTTCTTCGTCGCAGAAGGCGGAAGGCCCAAATGTGAAAACCCGGATCTAGGCAGTATTGCCGAGCTCATGTCTAGCTCTGCTGCACGATGACTTTGTTGGTTACAATTTAAAGCCCACTGAGCTATGTAGCCTCTTCTCCAGAGGCGACCTGGCTACTCGTGACGATAAGCCCATCGGAATGGCTGATATAGTCATCATCATTATCACCACACGCAGGAATTTATAGCAGCAGCCAAATAATCTCAACACGCATTGATTCTAAATGTGGAGGGGAAAACCAGAGGGAGCCCTGAGAACAATCTGCGTGACCACCACGGGGAGAGGGAGAAAACACGTAGATTCAAAATATACAGCAAGGGACAGAATGGACCCCACGACTTCCTGATCACAGGCGAAGGAGATAACATCTCCTCGGCACCGCAGTCTTCCCTCTGCTACACAGACCCCACGTGCTTCAGTCTGAACTCAGTACAACGACTGGGCTTCTTGTGATGATAGAGACGGGACTAGCGCTCGAAGATAGACATGCACTGGGCTATGCCACCCAAACGGAGCCATGAGCCGGAAATTGTTCAACTTAATATAATCATCAACTCCAGCCACAAACTCTTCAACTCTCTCGTCCATTCAAACCAACAAGGCAAATCAAACAAGATGTGCATTCAAGAGGATAAACAATCCAGGGAAATTAAATAAAACCCAAGCCAATACAGCAAATGAAACAATATATCCAACGACGCACACACCCAAGGCCAACACGACCCAAGACAATGGCTCCCATAACTTGTCTATCTCTACAAACCAAATACAAACGTTGTTTGTACACATCCCATCAGTCCCGCGGCCTTGCGAGAGTGCAGAATTTTTGGCAGCATTGGTTCGATGACAAGCAAAAACTCAGGCCTGGTTTTGACATTCAGTGTTTCATCATCAGCAGAGCCAGGCCTAACATGAAAGCAATGCAGGCGAACTGCCACAGATGTTTGGAGGCAAGGACCGTGATTTATTTATACTCCAGTGGTTCTTAACCTTTACTGCACCCCTTTGGTTCTCAATTGTAAAAAAATGTACGATGTTAATAAATACAATGGTTTGATGAAACAAAGTAGCTATACTTGCGTGCACGTGATTAATTTGTGCTTCGATGATTTACCTTCTAAAGAAATCAGTCCATGTCTCGTAACCCCAGGTGGTGCGTGCACCCCAGGTTTAAAAAGAACCTCTGCTTTGAGATATGGGGTCCCAGGTGATATGCAGAATCACGTCATGACACAACTCAAAATAGTCACCGATGACACACCGACAGTCGCAAGTGACCCACAGTGTAGCTTGCACTCAACCTCCGCTCCCAGAAGGCCGTGTGGGGCTGACGGGATATTGTAAATCATACTGTTATATTTTATATTGAGAGGATGTATCGGTTACTTGTGTGAATGATTGTGCCGTGTTTTGTATTTATCATGGCAAGACGGGGCGAGGTAACCACAATTAATTATCCCGCGAACTGTACAGGTTACAGATTCGAGCTCAAGTCGACACCCACATTCTACTACCGCCTGGTCAAATCGCTCACCGACCAGCGTTAAGTGTGGCCAAACGAGCCCCATGGCCAACCAGCAGGGTGTGGGGAAGGAGCCCTTCATCCAGCCGTGCATTGATCAAGGGCCATGTATTCACCATCATTTTGCGAAACACCCACGGTACCACGTGTCCCACACCCATAACAATAAACACGAACACCACTATCCTGCCCAGTTCTCTTCGCAACCTTCACGCTGCTTATCCAATCCTCCTACGCCCTCCACACCACGTGTCCCACTTATCACTACCTCCAAGTTGCTTACCTGTCTATCCTGCCATGAACCTCCCAGAGCCAACTTTCCGCATGCACCTGCAACTCTAAACTAAACTATTGTTTTTATTTTACCATGTATGGCATAAGGCCCAGTGAGCTGCGAAGCTTTTTGTCAGAAGCGACCTGCCTATCACAAACAATAGCCCAACGAAGTGGATTATCATGTGGGAATGTATCGCAGCCAAATACTCGAAACGCGTGATGTTGATTATACATGTGGAGGAGAAAACTGGAGGCCCTGGAGAAAAATCCACGCGACCACGGGGAAAGAGACACGAAGACTCCAAATACACAGCAGCAGGCGTCAGGGTCGGGATTGAACCCACGACCTCCTGTAGACCAGGTAAGGTAGTTAACATCTCCTAGCCACCGTGATGATGAGAGAGACACGCAAACTCCAAATATACAGCAGCAGGAGTCAGGGTCGGGATCGAACCCACGTCCTCCTGCGTGCCAGGCGAGGTAGTTAACATCTCCTAGCCACCGTGATGATGAGAGAGAGAGAGACACGCAAACTCCAAATATACAGCAGCAGGCGTCAGAGTCGGGAACGAACCCACGACCTCCTGTACACCAGACGAGGTAGTTAACATCTCCTAGCCACCGTGATGATGATGAGAGAGAGAGACACGCAGACTCCAAATATACAGCAGCAGGCGTCAGGGTCGGGATTGAACCCACGACCTACTGCGTACCAGGCGAGGTAGTTAACATCTCCTAGCCACCGTGATGATGAGAGAGAGATACGCAGACTCCAAATATACAGCAGCTGGCGTCAGGGTCGGGATCGAACCCACGACCTCCTGTACACCAGGCGAGGTAGTTAACATCTCCTAGCCACCGGAACTCAGCGGGACCGCCACACTCGTTGCGTCTCTTGCAGTGTGTGTGCAGCCCCCGGGCCCCGTGTTGCCATTCCACATCCCAGTGCCGAGGACGAACTCGATCGTGATAAAGACCGCCGACTTCCGTGCACATGTTGGACAGTACGGTACTCGTTTTAACCACCCTTGGGCCCCGCAAGAGATGATGGGCGCGCGTTACACGACCGCTGTCTCCAAGCTGAATGGATGGGTCATTCCACATTCTCGCGGCGAGGACAGGTACATCCGCAAGACGAACCCAATATCTGTTGATATTCCTCCCAAAGCAGTACAGTACAGTATAGTCCTCGATTTAATGACCCCGAACCCCGGAAGGGTGATGATGGGCGCGCGTGCGCTCTACCAGGCTCTTGGTGAGATGGACATTCCACATTCTCGCGGCGGGACTCAAGTCCTTCAAAATACAGCACACGCCCAAGTCCTGACAAAGTGGTACTCGGGAGTTTAACCACCACAGAAGAGATGATGGGCTGGCGGCAGGCAGTACCCGTCTCGCTCTCTCTCTCTCTGCCACCAATAATAAACGTAAATTCCACATTCTCGCGGCGGGGAAAAGTTCATCCACAACAACGTGGGGGACTGCCCACAGATTATTGTGGTTTTTTTCTTACCCGACAGAGTTGGTACTCGATTTACACCCCTGCGGCGGCGATGATGATGATGATGGTAATGATGGTGGTGGTGATGACGGTGATTGTAATGATGGTGATGATGGTAATGATGGTGGTGGTGGTGATGACGGTGATGATGATGGTAATGATGGTGGTGATGATAATGATGGTGATGATGGTAATGATGGTGGTGATGATGGTAATGATGGTGGTGATGATAATGGTGGTGATGATGATGGTGGTGGTCATTATGATTGTGGTGATGGTGGTGGTATTTTATGATGGTAGTGATGATGGTAATGATGGTGGTGGTGATGGTAATGATGGTGGTGATGATAATGGTGGTGATGATGATGGTGGTGGTATTTTATGATGGTAGTGATGATGATATTGATGGTGGTGATGATGGTAATGATGGTGGTGATGATGGTAATGATGGTGGTGATGATGGTAATGATGGTGGTGATGGTACTGAACTTCAACTCTCGCTGGTGGCAGTAGCACCAGTAGTAGCAGCAGCAGGGTAGTGACAGTAGTAGCAGCAGGGTAGTGACAGTAGTAGCAGCTTAAGTAGTAATAGTAACAGCAGCAGTAGTAATATTAACAGCAGCAGCAGTAGTAATAGTAACAGCAGCAGCAGCAATAGTAACAGCAGCAGTGTAGTAATAGTAACAGCAGCTCACCCGTTGTAATACGCCTTGACCCGCACGCGTTCTTCCTGGGACATCGTGTCGCTACCGGAGCTGCTCGGCATGAAGCGAACGACGGATGAGATGATGAACGAAAGAAGGTGTTAAGGAAGGAGGGGGAACGACTCCGAGAACAACAACACACGACAATAAATTGACTCCTCAGGAGCGCGACGCGGAGTTCCGCGCCAGAGTCACAGGGCCCGGAGTGGCGCGCGGCACCAACGGGGGCGGCACAAAGAGCCGACTCGACCATCTGCTCACCCTGGCGCGGGGGGGAAGGTAAGGGGAGCGGTGGCGCAGTGGTTAGCAGGGCGCTACCACTGCCTCGACTCCGAACCGGCGGCCAACCCGAGTTTGTGATTCAGTCGCTCACGGCCACCGGGCAGCAGCGACGGCGAACGTCTGAACCGCTTTGCGGGGCCTGCCGCTTGATTCTACGCAGCCGTAAATGAGGACTTTGGGGCGGTGCGTAAAAAGGTCATGCACTGGGGAGACAAAGGTGGTCGGGCGTGAGGTTGGCCACCACGGCCCCACTCGCGGTGCGCCGTGACAGTCCTTGATCGGTGTTGCTCGCTTCATAGCACTTGCCCCGTCAGCCTGTGTAGGCTACACGGGGGATCTTGGTCTTTGGTAGAGTGCAGTTCTGGCTATTGGGATGAGTGCAGATGTCAGATGGGAGATTGTTGTTTTACCTCTGGTAAATACCTACACACTCACATCTCAAGGCGTTAGTCAATAAGTGTGCGTGGTCTTTTATATATATAGCAGGCGACGTTCCGGGCAATGACCCTTCTTCATCGCACACATAAGAGGGAAAAATCGAGGCCATATAAAACCTCTCGAAGCCGTACTAATTGGGAAAGGGTAAACTTGACTTAAAGCTTTCGTGACTGCAGGAATTCGTATTCTTTGGGTCTTTCGGTAAAGTCATGATAGATAGGTTCAAAGAAAATAACAAAAACACAAGCGTTGGTCATCAGGAAGAGGGGGTTAGCTTCTAAAGGTAAACTGTTTATAAAGGTTTTAAATTGTCATAGCCCAAATGTCAGCAGCCAATGTTAATGTAAGTGGTGAGCAGCGACCGCGAAGGTGGTGGGTTTGCCCACCAATCAAAGGGCTGCCCAGTAAAAGTTTGCATGATAATGTAAGATCGTTGAGCGGCCTCCACAGCAGGTGCCCTGAGGTGGCTTGTTAATGAGAGAGATTAGCATGTTAATGAGAGAGATTAGCATGTTAATGAGAGATATGAGCATGTTAATGAGAGAGATGAGCATGTTAATGAGAGAGATTAGCATGGTAATGAGAGAGATTAGCATGTTAATGAGAGAGATTAGCTTGTTAATGAGAGAGATGAGCATGTTAATGAGAGAGATTAGCATGGTAATGAGAGAGATTAGCATGTTAATGAGAGAGATTAGCTTGTTAATGAGAGAGATGAGCATGGTAATGGGAGATTGCAAAGCAAAACACCTCGAGCTCGGTGGGCGAGGTGGCTGTGTTAGGGTGAGAAATTTAACCTGTTAATGTAAAATCAGAGAGCCGAAAATAACAACTAACATCGGAAGGTGGTAGGATGGCAGCATCACAGCCAGTTATGACTTAAACTGGTTGATAACGTCCTTCCAATGATTGCTCAGTTTATACCCATCTTCTCGATTGAAATTGTGTCCTTGTCTATATATATGGATGGCTTCATGGACAAATCTTTGTTGATAGCCAGTGGGTTTGCAAAGTACCTTCTTCTTAGAGAAATCAATTTTGTGTGAGCCATCCGCATTAAAACAATGATCAGCCATGGCCGAGGTATTAGTCCTACCGTGTTTCAGATCTGCCTTATGTTCACGAACACGGTCCGAGATGATGTCGCTTAGTTTCCCCAATGTAACTACTGCCGCAGACACAGCTTAGTTTGTAGACGCCAGGGTATTGCATGTCAGGGATCACATCCTTCACAGATGGGATCAGATCACAAATTTTATGCACTGTGTTAATTTGAACCTGGATCTTGTGTTTGCTCATGATTTTGGAAATATGTTTTGTGACCCCTGCTATGTATGGCAAGGTGATGGTTTTGATTGGGTCCTCAGATGGTTCTTTCCCAACGGTTGGGGTGATAGCTTTACAGATTGTGTAGTCTGAATATCCATTCATCTTGAGAGCTTGATGTACGTGTTCCAGTTCACTGGCTAGGTGATGATGGTCGGAAATACATCGAGATCTATGGTGTAGAGTTTTGATGAGGGAATTCTTCTGGGAAGGATGGTGGTGGGAGTCAAGTTTTAGATATGCATCCGTATGGGTGGCTTTCCTGTAGACAGTGTATCCCATTGAGCCATCTGGTCTCATTTCGATTAAAACATCCAAGAATGGTAGATTGCCATCCTTTTACACCTCCATGGTGAATTTGATAGCTGGGTGTATGGAGTTGATGTGGTTGAGGAATTGGTTCAGAGCTGGTCGGCCATGTGGCCAGATGACGAACGTGTCATTTACGTACCTCTTCCACAAAGATGGACGTAGAGTGGATGCCTGGATGGTATCTGTCTCAAATAGAAAACATTGGCTACAACTGGAGATGAGGGAGACCCCATTAGGGTTCCTTCAACTTGTTTGTAGAATGTTCCATTCCAGGTGAAGTAAGTGTTGGTGAGGCAGTGTCTCACCAGGGCCGGTACATCAGCATTCAGTCCTCGTTGGACCAAATATTCAATGATTGCAATGGTGTCATACACAGTAACTTTGGTAAACAAAGAGACTACATCAAAACTAACAAGCAAATCACCTGTAGATAGTGAGATGTCCTTAATTAATGATACCAAGTGAGTTAAGTACAGCTGAGGTGGTCTTACCAGTGAATGGTTGTAAGGTCTCAGACATAAATCGGGCCAGTTTGTAGGTGGGGGAGTCAATGATGGAGACGATTGGACGAAGGGGTGTACACCTTCTTTATGGATTTTTTGGTAAGCCATACAATCTGGGTGGTCTAGCAGCAGAGGGGTTTAAGGAAACACGCATTGTTGGTTCGATTAAAGATGTCGAATCGGTGAGGATCTTGTTGATTTTCGTAACGAGGTTGTTGGTGGGATCTTTTTTATTATTATTTTTGTTATTGTATGTGGTTTTGTCCATGATGACTGGGTACAAACTGAGCAATCATTGGAAGGACGTTATCAGTTTAAGTCATAATTGTATCTGATGTTCCCATCATACCACCTTCCGATGTTAGCTGTGCTTTACGCCCATTTCAAACTTGCGCTTTCACAGGGTTCACACTAGCACAACCACTTCGCGCGCCGACACATATGTTGTGGCTCTGCGATATCCCATTAACACGCCAATCTCCCACTAACACGCTAATCTCTCATTAACATGCTAATCTCAATTAACATTGTGATCTCTCATTAGCCTGCTAATCTCCCATTGAAATGCTAATTGCCATTAACATGCTAATCTCTCATTAACATGCTAATTTTCACCTGGCAGCCCTTTCATTGGTGGAAACTGAACTAACCGTCGGGTTGGGCTGCCCACCACTCGCATTGTCATTGGCTGCTGACATTTGGGCTACGCCCATTTCAAACCCCTTATAAACAGTTTGCCTTGGAAGCTAACCCCCCTTTTCTTGAAGATGACCACTTGTGTTGCCATCGAAACGTCGTGGTTTTTTTGTTATGTTTTTGTTATTCTCTTTGAACCTATCTACGTGACCTTATCGAAAGACCCAAGATTCTGATGAGATGTGTTCAGCTTCTACGCTTCCTCCACGTGTTTAACCATTCCACCTGACCTACCCGCACTCCACCCCACTATTAAAGCTCAGTTGGTATCGCCCGCACACCGCGAGCCAATCAGCGATGAGGGATGACGTAATGCGCATTCCTTCTCGTGACGTCAGCCGGGCACGGCTCCCATGGGGATGACTTTGGGGGGGTTGGGGGTGCTGCCTTTTGGGTTTCTTGCGTTTCGGTTGACTTGAGTGCCAGGCCGTGGTGCTGGACCGAAGCAAAGCACAAGACAGTCCATCAACGAGCCCCGCATTCTTCAACAACAAAACTAAAACAATTTGGGAGTGCATGAAATATCAGCTTGCATTAATATCGTGACACAAATACCATACTCTAAGCTAATTCGCATGACATTCGCCGATTCATCTATAGTCTTACTTCTTCTGTTACGTCTATCCCTCCCAATTCATGTTCGCTTCTGGACCGATAACATTTCACCTCCCTATCCACTTGTCTGGCTCCTCCCCGTTTTGTCCCTACCAAACATGTCTGCCTACTCGCCCATATCAACCTCCCTAGCCAACATGTCCAACCCCGATCCATGTCCGCCCCTACCCAACATGTCCGCACCCTACCAATGTCCACAACCCTACCCAACATGTCCGCCCCTACCCAACATGTCCGCCCCTACTCAACATGTCCGCTCCTACCCAAGTCAACAACCCTACCCAACATGTCCGCCCCTACCCAACATGTCCGCTCCTACCCAAGTCCACAACCCGACCCAACATTTCCGCCGACCGAAACAAAAATCTACCTCAAATTCACACATGCAAAAAAAGTTATCTTTCTCCCTTTATACTGTATCTCTGTTTCCTCCAGACCAGTCGTGGGGGAGTAAACATCTTCAATTGTTCATGTAAATAACTATGGAGAAGTGCATTTTCAGATTTCTACAAGATAAATCAAGATTCCGATTCTGCCTCACCTTGTCTGTGTCCAGAAATCGTGTGGCCATCTCCAACGTATTATCATTATGATGATCATTATCATTGTATCATGATGCATGTCAAGGCGCTCTTCCCCCTCCAACCAAGCTTAAATATACGCTGCCAAGCCTGGTGGTGTCCATTCAGACGCTGTCTTTCTGTCAGACCTGTTCTTCACCTGAGGACGGCTGCTTGCGTTGTGGCCGAAACGTCGTGAGAATTATTTTGTTTTATTTTTATTATTTTATTATTTCCATTCTACGTAACTTTACCGAAAGAACCAAGAAGACATTATAATTGTATCATGATGATCATCATTATCATTTTATCATGACGATAATTAACACTGTATGACGATGAGCATCATAATTGGATTATGATGCTCATGATCATTGTATCATGACGATAATTAACACTGTATGACGTTGAGCATCATAATTGGATTATGATGCTCATCATCATTGTGTCGTGACTTACTCGGAGGCAGTAACACTTGGGGCACTTATT